AAAAATATAAAAGGTAATTGCGACTTTTTATCTCACAATTCAGACTTTTTTTCCTCACAATTGCGAGTTTACTTTTGCGAGATGGAAAGTCAGATTTGCGAGATATAAAGTCAGAATCGCATGATATAAAGTCGCAATTGCGAGATATGAAGTCAGAATTGCGAGATATAAAGTCAGAATTGTGTGATATGAAGTCAGAATTGCGATATATAAAGTCAGAATTGTGTGATATAGTCAGAATTGCATGATATAAAGTCGCAATTGCGAGATGTAAAGTCAGAATTGCGAGATACAAAGTCAGAATTGCGTGATATAAAGTCGCAATTGCGTGTTATAAAGTCAGAATTGCGAGATATAAAGTCAGAATTGCGAGTTATAAAGTCAGAATTGCGAGATATAAAGTCAGAATTGCGTGATATAAAGTCGCAATTGCGTGTTATAAAGTCAGAATTGCAAGATATAAAGTCAGAATTGCATGATATAAAGTCGCAATTGCGTATTATAAAGTCAGAATTTCGAGATATATAAAGTCGCAATTGTGTGTTATAAAGTCAGAATTGTGAGATATAAAGTCAGAATTGCGAGATATAAAGTCAGAATTGCGTGATATAAAGTCGCAATTGCGTGTTATAAAGTCAGAATTGCAAGATATAAAGTCAGAATTGCATGATATAAAGTCGCAATTGCGTGTTATAAAGTCAGAATTTCGAGATATATAAAGTCGCAATTGTGTGTTATAAAGTCAGAAACGCATGATATAAAGTCAGAATTGTGAGATCTTGGATGTGTAGCCACCACCGCGCTGGACTATTGCGTATTGAGCTGCAGAACTGTAGGAGGCTGTTATGTAACGTTACAGCTTTTTTTCCGCGCTCTAGTCTGCGCCAGTTTCAATACGTTTTAGAAATAATATTTTTCTGCTCGTCCAGCACTTTGCAACTAAACAGCATTATTTCGGCAGCGACTTAATGCATGTCTCCTGTAACAACCACTGATGTTTACATTTTATGCCTTCTCTATAGGATTTTTCACCTCCCACAGGTTTTTTCTGTGTTTGTTGTATTCACACCAGGAAAGTCCGATAGTTCACTTGCTTTGGTCTGGCCCAAATAATTTTTTTTTTTTTTTTTGGTACGGTTCGCTTTCACACTGCTCTTTTTGCAAGTGAACCAAAATTTGTAAACCAAACCACACGTGTGCTAAGGTCGTCCATTCATTGGACAAGGATTCTCAAGGGAAATCAGGAAGTGCAAAAAAGGCTCAGCATGGAGATATTTCCATATATTTCGTACTGCAATATTTGTTCTTTTACTAATTTTGTGTTAATTCTGTACTAACGCAATATGAAGTAACTAATGAGTAGCCTATCATATGATACAATGTCATCTATACGATGTTGTAATTCGGATTTTGAGAAGACGACGAGTGTAACGTTTGAGTGGTTCTATTAAACGCGGGGAAATACGACAACTCTCGTCTCTTGTGCATCTTTTCATTCGACCATCTACTGCTTTTTTTTATCTCTGGTTAACATCTCAACTTTGCGTTACAAGTGGCACTGCACAGAAGACGAGATGGTTAAGGTATAAAGTTTTCATTCATAGAGAGGGGCTATGTTCACACATTCAAATAATGAGATTCTTACTAACAAGTGTACTAACGTGTACTAACAAGTGCTTTCAATGTTAACGCTTGCGATCAAGTTTGTCCAGTTTAACGTAAATTAACGCATCATCATCCTTGTATTGTTACTATCCTTACATTTATAATAATAATAATTCATTACATTTATATAGAACTTTTCTCGGCACTCGCTTTAAGGGTGAAGGTGGTGAACCAAAAGGTGGTGAACTGCAAATGATTTGTGAACTGCAAATGATTTTTTTTTTTTTGCATCTTTGCGAGACTAAAGAGAACGCTCTGTATGTGAATGTCCTGATGCACGCACTCACTCATTCATTCATTCATTGATTCCATTCCAATGATGCACACACGATGAGCAGAAAGACACGCAGCAGTATCGTGTGGCCAGACAGCGCGCCGGATATTCTCTTTCGACGCAGTGCTTTCTTGCAATTGGGTCGATTCATGTTCACACCGTAAACAAACCGTACCAGAGTTCGTTTGGAACCGTACCGAGACCACCTCTTCAGCTGGGTCTCGGTTTGGTTGATTGGTCCGCACCTGAGTTCGATTGCTGTATTCACACCTGCCCAAAAGGTCCGCACCAAGGGGGAAACGAACTAGAGTTCTATTTAATCGAACCAAACAAGGCAGGTGTATACACCCAAGAGCAAGCGCAATGGTCAAACACATTTGTCGCTAGAAAAAAGATGAAAAAGCAGAGTAGTGGATATCTTCTCTGTGGTTTGCTCCAAAGCAGTTCACCCAAAAATATCACAATACGGAAGTACAGTTGGACGCAAATTTCATTTAATACAGACTTACTGCAAACAGCACAATCAAAAATGGAAACTCTCACATTTTTTTTTTTTTTTTTTTGCAAGATACATTAGCTTTAAATTCATTAAAAAAATATATATAAAAAAGGATAATTTTCAATAATGGCAACATAGATAGGGCTTTAAATATCTAATTTCAAGAATTATATATTTATGATGTAAATCATCAGTGCAATATTACTTAAAAATAAAATATTATACTGATCTGCAGATCAGTTTCTTCAACATTAAGAGTTTTCACTAAAGATGCATTAGGCCTAATACCAAGCAAGCAATTTTGCTTTAAAAAGACATCTACTAGCCGTCCAAACACAGCCCTGACACGTCTAGGCTAAAACAAGACAGAATGTGGACTGTCAGTGAAAATGTAATAGAAGTCTTACCATAGCCCAAGAATATAGACAAAGGCTATGCAAACTAGATGTCGAAGAAATAAAACCAAACACCTTGTAATCACTGTTGACTTTGCTTACAAGATTTTGTCTAGAAGCGGTTTACTCATGGCTGGACTATCTCAGGTCTATAGTTAACCCTCTGGGGACCAAAAGAGCGCCCACGATTAGGGAGGATGATTTTTCAGATCATTGTGAAGAAAAAACTCTAGGACGCATATTTCGTATGTGTTTTGTGGCCTTATTTCAGAAGCCCAGACCTCCTGCAACAACAAAAAAAAAAGACAAACACAAGTCAGATAACAAGTCTGAATTTTTGAATGGATTTTTATTGTATTTCTGTATAAACAAACCCTGAAATTACTCTCTTGGCTCCAAAACAAATAAAAAGAAGAGTCTGTTACAGGAATAGTCGTGTGGAGAGTAAGGACACCTTTAGGGTTAGTGGTGGGAATGCCTGAGATCCACGGGGGGGTGGCAGTATATTTTTTATTTTTAAACCACTATGTTTATGTATAAATAAGTATTTGGATGGTATTACGTGGATAAAAGATGGAAATCCTCTACATTGTGAAGTTGAACTGGTCCGCCCTTGAAATTCACTCCATGAACTCACATGTCATGTCCCCCTGAGACTCCCTGAATTTGCTTTGCATTTCACTTTGGTCAAGCAATGCAAGTGTGCTCGGGAACATCTACAGTATGTGCTTGTTTATGCCTCATCAACACAATGACAGGAAACTGATAACTGAACTTTTGGGTGTTGCAGTTCTGTCACTTGATAAATGTTGTTCAAAAGTGTCACTCCACCCTCAGCAAAGCCACCGGTATAAACTCTTCTCTATGTGTTTAGATGGCAGGGGAAGTTAAAAGCTCTTAAGACAGCACATTTTCATAACACATTTGGTTTACAAATTTTCTTCAGTTGCAGAATGACTATCATTTTGTTTTTGTTTTTATCTTTGAGTGGTCAAGTTTAAAAATGTTATATTCCCTTTAGCACTTCAGGGTTTTGAGATGACTGGAAAAGCTCCAACATCCCTGCAGAGGACAAATGGTTTGGAAAATGGATGGATAGATGGATAGTCTGTGTCTGGCAAACAAAAAACAGAACATGTAAAGTAGCCCAAAAAAATGTAAATTACAAAAAGAATAATTTCTCTTAAATTTATAATTTATAATTCTGCACAAATTTACACAAGGATTGCTTTACTATTAGTTAAGAACTTGCAACAATCGCCAAAGAGACTACATGTACAAATATGCAACATGGCTCTATGAATGAGGCCCAAAAAGTATTTTGAGTAAAGGGAACAGGTAATCGAATGCCTTGGTCATCGCCTGTCCGTTAGATCGTGCTGTTTCCCTTGATTACCAGCTATACAAATATTGTCAAAAATCATTTAAAATAAGAACCTAAACTGACTTTAATAAATCATAACTCCTTCACTGTGTTCATTTTTATCTTTTACTTCATATTAAGACAACAAAACAGAAATCATAGTTTTCCAATCGAACGAGCCAAAGGTTATGATTACTGGCCAATAATTTTAGGCATGCACCTTAAATTTGTTTCAATCCTCCAATGCAGATCCAAACTGATGCATTTTGAGATGGCTTCTTGTTTTTAGGGGTATTAAAACAGATGCTAAGCATTGATGATTATTTCTCATAAGCGAAATACTCTCCCTAAAAGAGATTTTTTGTAGATAACTGACAGGGGTTCTCATTAAAACGATATATGCCTACGTGAGCAGCATCCATGCATCCAATACACCTGACTGCGCGAAAAAGGAAACAAAATCATTCCTTTCAAAATGTGCTAGTGGATATATTGATTTCAATGATGTTAACATTTAGTACAGAGCAAACATCCTGAGTCACTCAGTTCGTGACATTATCCAACAAAGAGTTTTTTAAAATTCTTTGTGATTTGTGGCAGTCAACAAAATGCTGACTTGTGTGACAGCTTTAGCATCAGTTACTCTAGAGGTGATACAGTAGTTGACATCAGGTCAGTTTGGTTGCACTTGTTAACTGCTTTGCAGAAGTGTTCTCATAAACCTCTCAGTACAATGTTGGGCATAAAGCTACAGATTTGCAAATGCATAATTCTTAAAATGTTAAAACACTTTCCTCTTTCCCAGCGTAATATCAAGAGACAGCTGGAGTTAAGCATTTATAAGGCGAGACTTTTGAAGTGTGTTGAAACTGGCTTTTTAACGTCTTCGAAGCTTTGCTGTGTTTGTTATTAAAGCAGCATTGTCAAACCAAAACCTATTCAAACAATGATGGCGGATAATGTTGGTGAAACTTGTGCCACAGAAATTTCTGTACTTTCAATTTGGCATGTGATTCTTGTCTAATTTGTAAAATGCCAACTTAAAATCAAACTGTTCACAGTCCAGACATAACATAGAAGAGATATTCTGAATATTATGGTTTACATGGAGGTCTTCAACAACCACAATCGAACAATGCTGCAATGTCTGAGAGAGGAGAGAGACTTCATGAACCCATTATGCATTTAAGAGAGAGAAGAACAGAAGATATAAATGACATGACCTTTTTATACAGCTGTGGTCATAATAATCCGCAAAATGTTAATAATTTTAACTAAAAAAGAGGGGTAACAACAGGATGATCAGAGTAATTTGTACTTATTTTGTCTAATGTTGGAAAGGGGTCAAATATGCAGAAGATGCTGGAAAACCAAAGAAGATCCTCAAAAAAGCAGCCATGGATCATCCAGGTAAAGAGACACATGCAGTATTAGGAATCAAGTATATGTAAACTTATGAAAATTTTGTACATTTATTTACTATTTTGTCTTGTGACTATATGTAAACTATTATGTGAAATAGCTTAATTGTGGAACTACTAAATAAATAGAAAAAAGCCATTTTCACAATCCCTCTTATTTTGTTCAAATTATTATTCTAACATTCTGCAAGGTTTATGTAAACTTATGACCACAACTGTATGTTTACAGTGTAGTTACCAATTGATACTGATTACTGAATTAATAAGAAAATAAATATAGATAGGAAAATTACGGCAAACTCAAAAGTCAAGATACGTAACGTTAATGCTGAAATCAAGATTAATTTATTCAATCAACTGCCAGCCCGTAAAGCAAAAATAATCTGCTTCCCCAAGAATAAAACTGTAAGCGTGCTGAATGCTGTTACAGGTAATTCCTGAGATGTTATAGACAGAAGACGGCAGAACACTTCCTTAAGTGTTGGAAGTAATGTTGCAAATGATGCTGCTACAGAGAGTAAGATACTAAAAGAAGCCGACAAAATGATCATTTGGACAACAACAAAAGAAATGATGTTGTATTCTGGTAATGTATGTAGACATTTAATGAAGGTTAAAGACACGTTTCAGGGCCTAGGCCACTGACCAGACCCAGATCTGGGGGTTCGGGGTTCGATTAGGGGTTCTGTCGCCAAGGCGTCCGGATCCGCCGTGCCCTTCAGAACCCTCAGACGCTTGCCAAACGCTTCCTTCTTTGGGTAGAGCAAGAAGTCATACACAAGAGCAGCAGCCACCCCGCCCAACATGGGTGCAATCCAGTATATCTATACAAGGAAATAATTGTCACATTTGATAAAATTGTTATTTTGCACATAGTATGCAAAAGAACAAGTTATATCAAAGAACCAAACGTTTTCTTTTCTGGCCTATGAATACTTTTGAAAAAGTAATAATATGCCAAGATGTTTATAGTGTTAACATCAAATATAACCAAATCATAAAATGACTAATCTCTACCCTCAGCAAAGGATTTAAGTTGCTATTAATTCTTGTTTTACTCAAACAGCAATTTCAATTTGTTCTGACAACAACCTCATAGAAATAATGAGGTACTGACTCACCCAGTGGTTTTTAAAGGATTCAAGAATAACGGCTGGTCCAAAAGACCGAGCAGGGTTGATGCCACAGCCGGTGTAACTGATCTGGGGATGAGAATGATGAGCTTGTAAGGTTATGCATGCAGCGGAAAAGAGTCTTGACTTAAAGGGATACTTCACCTCTGGAAAGATGAATGTGTATTTAAAATGGGTCATTAATGTAGAGGAAAAGTGAAATTATTTTCGAATTTGGAGCTTTCTAGACTGAGAAAAGCCAGAAAATGTATTTTTGGCTTATGTGGATGAAATACGACAACTCCCTGGATGCACTTGCTTCGCTGCCTTAGGCCACGCCTACCGGTAACAGAGCTCAGTAGTTAAACAAGTCTAGGCTACTAGTGAGTTTCCACGATGAGTCTGCCCAAAAATGTGTTTCAAGACCACCCAAAATGTCCGGGGTTTGGTTTTTGCATTCTACAGTCGCCATTCATTATGTTTACTGTGGCGAGAGAGGGCCGCGGGAGAACGGCGCGAGGGCGTGATTACTGATGAGCAACACCTGTGAGACGCACCAGTCTCGTGTCTCTCACGGAGGAGCGGAAATTTTCTTAGCAATGGTAAAAAAGTGATCAACCGATCACTTGTTTAGCGTTCATGTAAACACTACATTCAGATTCACCGATGGAATGAATTCAGTTAGATTGAAACAAAAGGTGTGCAAGTAAACAATGAATGGCGACTGCAGAAAGCAAAACCTGAATCCCGGACATCGACGGCCGGACATGTCCGGGAAAAAGAGGATGGTAACCCTTTCTCCACAGAACAAGCCTGCTAGCTTAGCTTCCAAAAAAGATGGCTGACACTATTGTGTCCATTCTGTGAGCGAGATCCCTCTATGGGCGGGTTGGGAACATGTGGGACAGACCCTACTGACTGTAGTTTTTAGCCTCTGGCCAAAAAATCCTCTGATGAAGCAAAAATGACGTTTTTTTGCGTCATCTGAGAATTTTTTCCAGACAAAAAATACATAAATCTCTCGTCTCAGGGGGATATGAGGGTGGAAAGCATGGTCATTCAAAAACACTACAGGTTTCCTACAAATACAAAGCTTAATGCTATCCCTTTAAGCTTGTTTGGAAATCTACTGATCTAAGAACTTTGTGTATCATTTACTTTTGGTTGATGAAAAGTCAATTATAAAGTGCTTACTGCTACCAGGTGCCCTAAACCAACTGATAGTCCGATGGCTAGGGGTGCAGAGCCTGTGACATCAGTCCGGTGTTTGTCTGTTGTGGCAAGGACACAGAGGACCAGCTGAAAGGTTGCGAAGAGCTCAATGGCAAATCCCTGTCCCTGTGACACACCTTTACTCAGCTATAAGGAAAATAAGAAAATAAACAAATATTGGATTTCCTTTTAATGATGCAAAAGTCCAACACAATACTGCCATATTACAATTGTAAGACAAGGTTATAAATGTGATTTCAAGAATACCTCCTAACATCTGAATGAATTTTGAACATTTGCACCATTACTGTCAGAAGAAAAAGACAGCCCGTTTAACGGATATTTACTCCATTAGCAGGGAGTGTAGTCACACTACATCGGAAAAATCGATTTTTTTTTTCCAATCATCTTTATTTATCAAAAAGATTCCTCACATAAAACAAATGTAAGGTATTACTTTTTTTTTTTTTTTTCTTTTTTTTTTATTAAAAAAAAGTGCAAAATGCAGTTCATTATCAATGACAAAACACAACGCTCCTCTGTGACACCATATTCCTTTAAACACATTTAGGGAATCCATAGCTTTGTAAAAACGAAAATCGATTACAAGCCTTGATTTGATCATAGCTGCGAACACCCTTTCAACATTATAATCACTTTGTTTTTCAATTTGATCTCTTCTACTAATATAGATGGCCATTTTGGCTTTATCCAAAATAAAATTCAACAACTGACACTCATTCCTTCGCTTTTGAACATATTTAAAGCCCAAAATAAAAGTCTGCACAGAAAAACTCTCATCAAAACAATTAAAAAGACTGCAAACCATCAAATAAAGGCTTAAGCCTTGAACAATACAAACATGTGTGAAAAACTCTCTCTCTGGAAACAAAAAGGACATTCTTTGCCAACATCTGGATTTAAAACAGAAATAAAAGCAAAAGAAAGAAAGAGAGAGAGATACTGGAAGGAGGAAACAATAATTAAAATATTCAAGTTTAAGAGAATCAACTGAGTTTGAAATCAACATACAAAATACCAGGAACATAAAAAAACAAAAACATTTGTGTAACTTCTAGTTACTTAAGTATCCCCATATGACAACTAACCATGCAATACAATTCTGAATGTAGTATTAGTGGTTGAAATGTAATATTCTGGATAAAGCAACTTACCATATTGAGCCCCAGTGTTGTTTCAGGGTCAGGGCTAACTTTGAACATAATGCCACTTGCCACCACAGCTCCCAACAACTGGGCAATGACATACATGAAGGCCCTGAAGAAACTGATCTGACAGCTAACCAAAAGTCCTAAAGTAATAGCTGGGTTCAAGTGGGCTCCACTGATATGCCCCAAACTCTGAGCCAGTGTGGCAATCGCCAGACCGAAAGCTAAAGCTACTTTAACCTCTTGGTCAGGATATCTGTTATGCCTGTTTCCAATGGCAGAGGCTATACCAATAAAAATAAAAATGGTCATCCCAACAAACTCGGCCAATACTGCCCGCCAAAAGGACCAACTTTTAAGCTCTCGTGCCATTACAAGAATTGTTCCTCTTCTGCCTTTTAGCTGGTAAATGAAATTGCCAGCTAAGCTACCACTTATAAACACTCAGTGAAAGATGACTGACAGGAAACTGGTTTTAACAAAGGAACCAGTTTTAGACCAGAAAACGGTAGGAGGTAGTAGTTAATTACTAACTGTCCGAGAGCTAGTGTCACACAACAGCCCGATTAAATAATGGTAGTTCCATTTGACAATATTTTTACCTGCTTCATTTTTGGGAGTCATTCCTATGTTTCTAGAGTCCTACATGCACTCCAGATGCATAATGAACACATGATGTTCCCAGGCCTGTTCACACCAAGAGAAATATTCAGCGCTTAGATTTGATGTGAAAAATATTTTTGAATGAATAGCTGTTAAAGGTACAATATGTAAGAATTTTGCAATAAAATATCCCAAAATCACTTGCAACTAACTTAGACTTGACAGAGCTTCATGAGTCACGACTTGACAGCTTTATTAGACAGGTGAGCAAATGTACATAAAACAAATCAATATTATATAACTAAGCTCAATATGATGAAATGTTAGAATATGGTCAGTATGTTATTCTAATGTTGATCTAGCTTACTGCTAGTTTCGTATTGCAAACGAACTAACACGTAGTATAACATTATAACTTTCAACACACATTTAAATGCCGTTTAGTGTGATAGTGTAACGTTAGACCAAGTGAAGCAGCGCTGCATTACCTCACAAGATTAGTTTGTCTAATAAACTGACTTGTGTGAGTAATCCAGCTCTTGTACAAACATTCTTGTGTAAAATCATCTATGTATCTAATTGTAAGCTCTGAAACCTTTTTTGTGCGCTTGCAAATACACCAGATATTGTTGTGGTTCAACTTGTAGAGACTGTTTTCCAAAGATGGCTGCTGCCTGTATACGTGAAGTGGACTGTCTTTATAAAGAATCTTCTTATTAAACGGTCTGTACTTTTACAAAGTTCTCAATGCTTCGTTTTGCATGTAGGGACCCTCATTATGTTACTGTGTTAGTGTGGGGCTATTTTGTGCCTTGTTAGTGATATTAACTAGCGATTTATCTTTACTTATTATATGCCCCCATATAGGGTATACTTTAAACAGTTTTTAGAGATAAAACTCTTTACATTAAAGGTATTGTAGCCTGGAATTTTATTTAAAAAAACTTTTTTCCAAATTAGTTTAAACTTTCTGTATATATCAATGCATAATTAAAATATAAGTACTCTGAAAAAAAAAGTATAAAAAAAAGAGTGTCTGTAGACCTCTCACGACCTCTCATTATTTCCATTCACTTCACCCCCTCCCTTATGGGCTCCTTCCAAAGCCATGCCCCCAAAACACATGAACCACATGTAATAACAAATCTAACTTTATAATTATGAAGATAAACAAATAAGACATATTTTAGTACTCACTATCAAGCATCAAGCTATTGGTAAAGTTTTAAATAAATATTTATTGACTCGATAACGAGCTAGTCATCTATAGCCTAAGGCAAAGCAAAAAACAAGTTGCATTATACACGTTTTTCCATTGCCATCATTTACACTGTGATGAAGCTGAATTTCGTGTAAGATTCACATATACATATATGGTGTTCTGCATGTAAGAGTTTCCATGATGAAAGCATTGTTGACTCTGATGAGGACAGTGGGGTTAATAGCATTTATGAGTCTTGATGATAACACCCCACTTCACTTGAAAGTGGCGTGTATGTTAAGGTAAAAGTCATGTTGTCATGTTGACACTCCAGAGACAAGTCCCTACCGCATCGTCAGCTCGAGGACAGATCCGGGGTTGAGGGCGAAGCAGAGGAGGTCGTGCAATGGGCTTTATGCCCAGCTGCACTACTTCCTGAACTTCAGCCAGCTCAGCTTGTTTCCTGTCTGCAATTATTGGCCAAATTGATTAATCCAGGTGTGCTTGACCTCAGTTGTCATGGCAACAATAATCAGACACACCTGAATTAATCAATTTGGCCAATAATGGTAGACAGGAAACAAGAAGCTGTCTGAAGTTCAGGAAGTAGTGCAGCTGGGCATAAAGCCCATTGGGGTCCGAGGAAGTAGAGGCCGAGGACAGGGTGGTCGAAGTGCAGGGCAAGGAGCACTTTTTGGACCAGAGGACCTGCGTCAAGTTTTGCATCTTCAAGCTCAAACAATGGCATGTGAACAGGTATCTGGATACGCGCAAGTGGGCAGGTCCTGTGCAGTGTTGCCAGATTGGACTAAAGATTTCCAGCCCAACTACAGTTTAATACCTGCCCATTTACAAAAATACCAGCCCAAAATACACACTGTTATTAAAACTGTTATAGCTACAATAAAACACAGAATTAATTTTCTTATTAATCAACCAGACAAAAACATTACAGAGCACCATGCTCGCGCCATATTTCCAGCGTAATAAAACACAAGGGGCTCTATCTTGCACCCGGCGCAAATGACTTTATACACTGACGCATTTATCATTCCAATTTTGCACTCGCGCAAAGCGGGCTTTTTCCTCCACAGACGCACGTCGGTAAACTAGGGAATGAACTTGCGCTCCCTGGGCGGGTTGGTGCAAAAAGCAGGCGTGTGTCGGCGCAAAAATCCCTGGTGCTATTTTGCAGTTCCAGAAAACAATTGCGCCAATGACCAGAAAAAAAGCTACACAGATGCATTTTACTTAAAAGGGAAAAATATATCCACAAGTTTCCTACGCCCCATGAGGCCTTGCGTCAAAAGTGGGCGCGACTTCCGGTTCGAAGTAAACAAAGCGCGATTTGACATGCTTGACACTCGTTCATTCAACAGTTGACAGTCATTCAAGTTATTGCGATCCAAACTAGTTAACGATGTGGGAACACAACCTCAACGAAATTAAAAAGGGTGAAATAACAGTACCTTTACCCTCCGCAGTCGTTGATTGGGAGTATTATAATAACATTATTAATAATCAATACTCATCAAGGCATGGTGACAGACAGTTGTGTGAGCTGACAAACAATTAAAATAAAAAATACACACTTAGTCATTGTGCTTTGGAGTTTATTCAAAATTATAAATGAATGTGCTACTTGAATACATTAACTGGCACATTTGGTATTCTGTCAACACAGGCTTTGATCCTGAGTTTAGGTGTAACATCAGTAGCAAACAGCTAATCACATGCTGATAGAGTTTATATAATATTAAGAATTTAAACAAATGTACACAGAAAGATTCGTCGTCTTTTGGGAGGTGATGGAAACTACAGTCGTTGGCAGGATCATCAGAGACGGGCTCTGGCAGGATCACTGTGATTTCGTTTTCAGCTTATGTTCAAAACAATCACGTTTAAGCCACTGAATTAGTTTAGTCCGGTTATACATACAACCGCGAACAGCACATGTTGTCCCTGAGCTCCGTAACGACATCTCTCATAAAGATTGGCGTCTTTAAATAGTAAAATAATTCTCCGAAAAACAGCTAGCCTCTTCGCTAACTAACACACAAAATACCATTGGAATGCTACTTCCGCCGCGTCACCGGAAGTTTCACCCACTTTATTTTTTACAGGAGCGCCCCTCGGAAACTTGTGGATAAACATGAGGGAAATCATTGTTGTGTCCGTGACGATGGGAAAAATAGGCATAAAGCTTACACATTTACCCAAATTATTATATGCATGTTTAACCGAAGTTAATTTGGGTGGGTTTGTCCCATCCCCAATGTCCCTTCTCTTTCTTTTACGGCCCTGACGAGAACATCGATCTCCTCGGCTGTGAACCGATGCTGAAGCGCGCCTGGTAAATGCGCCGTTAAAATAGTATTGCTCCATGGAACAAGCGCACCTCGTTCATCATGCTCTTAAAGGGAATGTGATATGACGCTCTTATTGGTTTATTTCCGTTATGCCCAAACCACACCTATGAATAATGAAGCTACTCCAGACCAACCCCTTTTAGATTAAAGAGGCATTTATCCCACCGGGAAAATAGCAACAGCGCCGGGATCCGCCCACAAAGTTACTTGCGCTTTGCCACTTGCATTTCAGATCGTTAAAATAGGGTCCAAGGTCTACATCGGAAACCTCAGAAGACAACGTGTTTTATTGTTCTTGTGCTACTATTGTCAGAAATACAGTTCTTCCCTAATAGGCCAATTTTCAAATCATTTTCATAACACTTTAATTTTTGTATTAGTGCTTAAAAATGTGTACTTTATTTACAACTAATTAATTTTTTTTATGTTATTGAAATTATTATTATTTACCAATCAAGATGAATCTCGTTTTTTACCTTATTTTAATTTTAAATAAACGACTGATTGATACATCGAATCTTCCCTAGACACTAGGCTACAGCTACTTGTAGCCTATATGTTATTGGGTTTAAGAAATGATCAAATGACTTAAGAATTGTACAGCAAAACAAAATTGTACTATAATAGCATAAACACGCTTACCTTTTAAATTGGAGTTAATATAGAGAATCTCCGCAGAACTGGTGAAAACGTCTCTATTGTAGAACAATTATAGAACTATGAAATTATAGAACCAACTTTGTACAGTCACAAACAGATCGATTAATAGATTGTTGAGTCAAATCTCTCCAGCAACTGCCGGGGAGGTTTGAACGTTGCCGAGGTAAAGCCATTTCTGACCAGGCCAGTGCGCACATCCATGATGCTGGAGAGTAGCAGTGGTCCCATACGATTCCTAGTGTCATCTTTTAAAAGCGAGACAAGGGAAAATGCTCGCTCAACATGGGCATATAGCACCTTGTGCCAATTCCTGGAAACACTTGTGCCCCCCTGCATCTTTAAACGCTTCGACTTCGAGCCAAAAATGTCCTGATCATCAGAGAAGCCTGCGGTTGTCACATTCCTCCACTGCGTATCTAATGTATCAATGGGGCACGAGAAAAGATCAGCTGGCAAGTCCTTTACTCCAGGCCGATTTATAGTGGACATAACAGATTTTGACAGATGAGCTCGAGTTTGCGCAGGCATTCCATTGAAACAGGTAAACGCAATTGATACTGCTTTACGAGTTCTTTCAGAAAATTCAT